TTTTCGAGTTGCAAGCCATATTGCAAGGACTTTTTTAGTAAGGATCATGTTAATATGGATTTAGGTGCTTCGAGGTTTCTAAGTGTTTGACCTAAGGATATGTCGTTATTCAGTCCAAGTAAATTTCAAGGAAGAAATTTCTTTTTAGGATGAGAGAGTTGTAACATCCCAAATTTCGGACTAGTACTTTTAATTTTACCCAAGACGTATGTGGACCTCATGCAATTTATAATTAAATTTATTGGGCCGAGTTGGGCTTAATTGGGTTGGATTAGGGGGCCAATTAGCAATAAAAATGAATTTTTAAATATGAGACAAAATGTGAAGGACCAAAAGAGCAATTAGACCATTGATGGAAATTGAAGGTGAAATTTGAGGATTTATTGAGGAGTCCCATTTCCTTTTCATCTTCTTTATTCTTTCTCCAAGTGTATATATCTTCAAGGTGGATGGTAAGAGTTCATTCTTTGTCTCCATCAACTTTTAATCATAAAATATCATTTTTCTTGTGAGTCATTCTAACCATATAGTATCAGACAATAAGAGTGTGATTCCTTGGCTTCGTGTTTCTCAAAGATTTTTTATTGAGGTTCGACCTAGGAGCACCCTATACGAAAAGGGGTTATAGATTAGTTTGTGAGTTTTCGAGTTGCAAGCCATATTGCAAGGACTTTTTTAGTAAGGATCATGTTAATATGGATTTAGGTGCTTCGAGGTTTCTAAGTGTTTGACCTAAGGATATGTCGTTATTCAGTCCAAGTAAATTTCAAGGAAGAAATTTCTTTTAAGGATGAGAGAGTTGTAACATCCCAAATTTCGGACTAGTACTTTTGATTTTACCCAAGACGTATGTGGACCTCATGCAATTTATAATTAAAGTTATTGGGCCGAGTTGGGCTTAATTGGGTTGGATTAGGGGGTCAATTAGCAATAAAAATGAATTTTTAAATATGAGACAAAATGTGAAGGACCAAAAGAGCAATTAGACCATTGATGGAAATTGAAGGTGAAATTTGAGGATTTATTGAGGAGTCCCATTTCCTTTTCATCTTCTTTATTCTTTCTCCAAGTGTCTATATCTTCAAGGTGGATGGTAAGAGTTCATTCTTTGTCTCCATCAACTTTTAATCCGTCTTTAGGTTTCCTACAACAATTTATGTTAATAAAATCCTTGTTTTTCATGCTTAACTAGAGAAACGATGGAAAATCATCTAAGTCTTGATGGTGAGTGATTGCTAGAAAAAGAGGCTTCATTTCGGGATTCTTTAAACAATGTAGTGTATTTCTAATCCTTTAGAGTGTTAAGGTTTACATAAATATGAAGAAATTACTAAGATTTGTGTAGATGAGCATTTTAGGAATCATGCATGATCTCATGATTAAATGATGTTTTAGTTATAAAGAATGTGTTTTTATGCTACCTTAAGACCCTAAATAAATTTCTAAATGTTTATCACATGATTAAGAACCAAACCAAGTCACTTGAGATGAATTTTGGTGTTTCTCGAGCCCAAAAAATTCATTTATGGGTTCGAGTGTCGATACTGGATGAATTAGAACACAAATTAGGATTTTTAGCTGAGAGTATCGATACTACTGGAGAGAGAATAGATACTACCCCTACAGTATCGATACTCAGTGTGGAAGTATTGATATTGGGCCTAATTTTCAGCATCAAAATGGATTTTTGGTGCCGATACTCATAGAGACATCGATACTTGACCCTAGGGTATCGATACTACTCATCTTGGAAGGTCACATTTGTCTGATTTAAGGCCTGCAAGAACTAAGGATGATTCGTAACGATATAAATTAGTCTGTAGGGGACATAAATGACCAAAGACACATAGGAACACTCATAAGAGAGGGTTATAATAGATGTCACCATACTAAGCGTAATAATCATAACATCTTCAGTCGAGGACATATTCGAATAGTTGAGGATGAGGATCATTATAAGGGATGTACCGACAAACGATATGATAAGTAAGGCAGATTCTGAAATGGTAAAAAGTGTGTGTTTCGAGAACGTCCATGTACCGAGAATGTATAAGTTGTCCCTCTAATTCAAGGGGTATTTGGGAAAAGTATGACATGAGCGATTATAGTGTTACTACCAAGTACTGTACCCAAGTCAGATATCGGGCTAGTTAGTATTACAACCAATAAGTAGTAAACATAGTAATCATCATTAAATAGAAACACATAGAGACCTCCCTAGAGACAGAAGTGACTACAACGTCCTTAAGTAAATGACAACTAGAATAGAATGTCCAAATAATTAACAACAATACCAGACTAATAAACCCTTGCATAACATTCTATATGAGAAAACAAACAACATAGCAACTAGTAAGAGGATGATTTGACTTTAGTATGTCCAACTATGCTCGGGTATAGACAGATTACCTTAGTTATCCTAATGGGGCATTGTTAGTGCGTGAGGCACTTTAGGGGCTAACTAGGGCGTAAGGTCTAAGCACTCATGAGAAGAGGGTTAGCGATGTCAGTATGCGAGGCACTTCAATTGAGCAGGAAATTCTGATGTTATGTGATATCAGACTCCCCCCTCCATGGTCTACCTGGTGTTATGTGATACCAAGAGATCATTCAACAGCTTAGAGGGCACTTTATCGATGCTATGTGATACTGGTAACCCCTCTTAGTAGGCTAGTATCTTATACTATATGATACCATATACTAGCATAGCAGAGTCAGTGTTGCATTCAGATAATGTATAGTAGAGTTAGGGTTGTATTCAGATATGCACATGGATATGAGTATCGCGCTTAGGGAAATCATGGCAGTTACAGTCAGTGTGGTTAGAGACCCTTTAGAGTTATACTCATGGTGAGGCCCTTAGCAGAGGATTAAGGGGAGCGTGAGACCCATACTTCAGTGATAGAATAGTAAAACCCTAAATAGGTAGCACTTGACTAGATCATGCATGTACCTACTGCTTAGTACCATGTCTGTAGCATGCTTGTGTTTATAAAACTCTTAATGCTACTTTAAATTAGCGATTATACTATTGGGTTTGTAAACTCAACATTCAGATGTTTTTATTCCCAGGTCAATAGTTTGAGCCGTTTGTTGAGCACCATCGTAGTAGGACTTCCAATATCCCTGTCAGAGTACTGTACAATAGATTTAGTGGGCACATGTATTCACAGAACCTTTTTTTTATGTATTTGGTTGATCAAACTCTGAGTTGTACTATTTTGATTTTAAATCATGTGTCACGGAGCTCTGATTTTATAAAAATATTTTTATAACTATTGTATATATTTATTTTGGTACCACATAGTATGCTTTGAAATGAGAATGAACATGTTTTGAAAATCAGGGGTTATCGCGTCAGTCCAATGTGACACTTTAGGCCCAATTAGGTTTAGGGTGTTACATTACAATTAAAAGGGCACAATCCTATATAACAGTATATCCACATGGGTTTACAATCACCAAAACTTTGTCATTTTAAAGGCCATATATAGTCCCTTTTATGGTTAGCTTGTAAAACCTTATCTCTCATTCGTTTTGTAACAAATAAAAAACTTTTCTTCTCTAAAAAATAAACCCTAGCATATTAGGGATGTAAAGGGAGCTCGCCGCTGTCGTCATGACCAATCATTGGTGGCCATCCATCAAATATCTCTTTTCGGTGACTAAGGCTACAAGTGAAGGCTAAGGGACCCTCTACTCGCTCATTTTATTGACTTTTTGCTTATGGTTACAACTTTTTTATCTTCATAATGATTCTCTATTAAAAAAAAGAAACCGTAAAAACCCCTTACAAAAATATCTTATTGGTATATATAACCAAAGAAAAATCAAATATCTGAAAAGAGATCTGTACAAATCATCTTAAAAACGCTAATCTTTGTTACTCCTTTTTGCTTTCTTTTTGTTACACAATGTTGAGCCTTGCATGGAAGAGAAAAGAAGGCCAACGGGGTGCACGGGGTGATAAGTAATGTGGGTAGCCTTATATGCATCATACGCTTCTGATTCGGAGTAATCAACGGTCAGGGAAGTCCATGGCACCGTGTGTGCATCACAGACTCCATATATGGTCATCCAAAACATCTAGAGTGTTCTGAAGTAATTGGGGACATTGGATCGTCACCTAGATCCAAGGGAAGAGATGCAACGGCCGCTAAGGTTAGAAAATCCTAGGATTTCCAATTGAACTTTATGTTTTTGACTCACATGGGCCGATTAAGTTTAGGGTCAATTTGGATTGGTGTTTGGGTTATATTTTGGACTGTAATTTGAACATTTGGACATTTTGTTATTGTGTATTTTGGTTTAATTTAATTTTAGAGCTAAAATAAGCTTGGACAAAAACTGATAATTACACCTCGATTATTAAAAGTTACAAAATGATCACCTCGATATTCATTATTTTCCAAATTCGTTCTTTTTCGTCAAAATTTGACTATAGTCTGAGTTGTATGTTAATCTACTATATGATATATGATAAAATCTTATTACAAAATCTCAAACGACTATCATATCTTATACAACATGCTAACATTCAACTTAAAATGTTGTTAATTTTTTAACCAAAAAGAATGAGTTTGGAACATAATGAATTGTTCGGTGACCAATTTGTAACTTTTAATAGTTAAGGGATTCAACAGAGCAACATCCTATAGTCAGGAGATTATTTTGTAACTTTTAATAGCTAACATACTTAATAAAGCAACATCGTATATTCATAGACCATTTGTGTACTTTGCTTCTTCTTTTTTAATAGAGAGAAGTCTTACGCCATAGGATTAAGCAGGAATGCGTTTACAACAAGAAGATATCAGAATTGGGAGTTGTTAGATGTCCGACAATAGTTAGTCGATAGACAAGATTTGAGGCACAATAGGATCAAGTTTTTTGAATTTAATTCTCGTTGAAATAAAAGCTTGATTGACATTAAATTCTAAATTCTGATCCATTACAGAGACTAATTCTTCATAAATTACAATAATTGAATCGAAGATTGTCACATGCATCTCTTTCTCACTTCTTCCATTGAGGCAGCCTTTGAACCACCACCTAAAACCAACAAATCAATAGACAGCAACTCATTACATCATTTACCAACAATTATACATATTCAACACTGTAAATCCTATTGGGAGTACATCTTCCATTCGCTTAACTCGTTCGAGGATCGAATCATCGATGCATACAATACAAGCTACTCCATTACATCCATGTCTCTGTATATGTTTGATAAAGTTACTTGGAGATAAATGAAGAGTTGGAATAATGTAACAGTATACATTCATCATGTACAACAAGAAACATAGTTCTGCATCATACCTTGCCGGAATTTTCCTTGTTTCCAACAATAGTTTGACAAGCAAGCCTCCAAGATTCTGGTTTCTGTACATCGGACACGTTCTTTGTTGTTTTAGCAAGCAGCTTCTAGTTCTCAAGAATGATCATATATCCCATACACAAATATTAAGAACATGAAAGGAATGACACTGAGAGAAGAAAGCAAACCTTCTTGAGATATCGAAGTTCTGTATTGGTTCTTTCATTCAAAAGGTCCTTCCCTTGAAGAATCTGTAAACAAAAAAGGATCACAACCCAATTGTGATACGAAATTGATTCTTTAATTGAAATGAAAATAACCCAAAGTTTTATTTAATTCTTACCTCTACAATGCAAGTTCCACAGCTTCCACCACCTCCACAGTTCATCACTTTCCCCTAATCCCAGAAATTTAAGAAAAGTAAAACATTAAAAGAAAACTGAAAGAAAAACGTATGAAGAAGCTTACATAGGCTGCATAAAGCTCAATCTTGCTATCCAACATGATGTTTCTCAGCAGCTTTTCTCCTCTTATTTCTTTAGCTTTATCCACAGGATACGGCCCATCACTCCCTGGATTTGGCTGTGTCACATTTCATCATTCAATATCAATAACTTTTTTTTATTTAAAAAAAGGGTTTCATCTTTTTTGACTGCAAGACATAGTACCCCGACAAATTCCAGCTCGATTTCAGGCTTTTCTGATGTAATTGATGAACCGGTTGTCGTAACCGGTTTTCGTCCGGGCACGAAATTTTAAATTTGGCAGGAAAATTGATGTAAATAAATGTTTTTGAAAATAATTTGGGAGTCGCCATCGGCCTTTTGGGTTAGGTAGGTCGAATACCTAAAAATTATTTTTTAAAAGAGTTTTAAGAAAACATCAATTAAAAAATGAACTGATATGCATTTATAACCAAAAATTCGTTCTTTTTTTTTAATAATAAAAAGGGATTCGTGGTCGGTTACGTTTAGGGAAGGATTAACACCCCTACAACGCCCAAAATTGGTACTTTTTAATTATAAATTGTCTCTATTATTAACAATTAAAAAAAAATTCAAAATATATTTAATTTAAATTTATATTATTTCAAAATTAAAAAAATATTTAAAAATATCGAAAAAGAACTTCTAGGTGCCTTAAGACAGCTCTTTTCTTCAATATTAAAAAATAAATAAATGACAAACATTTTTTATGACAAAAATTTATTTTAATATAGTAAGATATTTATTTATTCAAAAATATCAGAAAATGGCTTCTAGGTATCTTAAGACAGCTCTCTTCTTTGATAAAAAATATATTAAAATTTTAATATTTTAAATAAAACTAAATTATAATTTTTATAATATTTAATTATTTAAAATACCAGAATAGGACATCCAGTTATATTAAGACTACCATTTTCTTTGATATCGAAAATAAATAAACATTATTATTTAAAAATATATATATATATATATATATTTATATGACTAAGATAATAATAAAATAATAATTAAAGCAATAATTAAAATATAAAAGTAATAATAAAATGATATTGTAATTAAATAATGATCAAAATAAAAGAAATTCAAAAATTATAAAACTAAATATAAAGTATTTAAAAATAAAGATAATAATTCGAAATATTATAAAAGATAATGATTAATAGTGTAATTTAACCTAATTAATTAATACGTGATTAAAATAATAATTAATAAACTATGAGGGTCTAAATTTGATATTTTCCTAAATATATATAAATACAGTTAATGGTTAAAATATAATAAAATAAAATTTAAACACTAAATTAAAATGATTAAAAGTCAATTTCAGTGACTAAATTGCAAAGTTACATAACTATAAGGGTTGCGGAAAGGATTTACCCTTTCTTAAATTACACAGATACCCTCCCCAAAACGACGTCGTTCGGGGGAGGGTTTATAAAACCTAAACGCCTGGCCCGAAGGGCCAAGCTTTCCCATTTCTTTCTTTTCTTTCTTTCTCTGAATGAGAGAACCTGAGTTCTCTCTCTGGTTTCTCTCTAGTTTCCCTCGCCGGAGGGAAACCGGCAGCCATAGGCCACCGTATTCCGCCGCCGGCCACCGTCACCGGCCACCGTAAACGGTGGCCGGAATTTACCAAAAACACCCCCAAAGCGTAGATCTAAACGTCCTAAGGTCCGATCTAAGGTTATTTTAACCTAAAACCCTATAATATATCGTAAATCTACGATTTTCACCTTCGGTATTTCGGTTCTCCGGTGACGTTTGGGGTTCTCCGATAACAGAGTAAGTTCCTCTGTTCTCTTCTTCTTCCTTTTTTTTTACTGGTTTGTCGTTGATTGGGATCGTTGGTAGCTTTCTGTTTTCTTTTTTTTTTCTTTGCTGGATGTCCTCGTTTCTCTCGTGTTCTCCGTTGCTCTCTGTCCTTCCTGGGTTTTTTTTTTTGCAAGTTCAGTGGTGGCTTTTATAGCCACCACAGTGTACTCCTCGGACCGGTCCCATGGGTAGCATCTTTGGTGAGTCACCAAGCTATGGCGGTGACTCACCATAGAGCACTGATTGGGTAGCATCTTTTTTGACTGCAAGACATAGTACCCCGACAAATTCCAGCTCGATTTCAGGCTTTTCTGATGTAATTGATGAACCGGTTGTCGTAACCGGTTTTCGTCCGGGCACGAAATTTTAAATTTGGCGGGAAAATTGATGTAAATAAATGTTTTTGAAAATAATTTGGGAGTCGCCATCGGCCTTTTGGGTTAGGTAGGTCGAATACCTAAAAATTATTTTTTAAAAGAGTTTTAAGAAAACATCAATTAAAAAATGAACTGATCTGCATTTATAACCAAAAATTCGTTCTTTTTTTTTAATAATAAAAAGGGATTCGTGGTCGGTTACGTTTAGGGAAGGATTAACACCCCTACAACGCCCAAAATTGGTACTTTTTAATTATAAATTGTCTCTATTATTAACAATTAAAAAAAAAATCAAAATATATTTAATTTAAATTTATATTATTTCAAAATTAAAAAAATATTTAAAAATATCGAAAAAGAACTTCTAGGTGCCTTAAGACAGCTCTTTTCTTCAATATTAAAAAATAAATAAATGACAAACATTTTTTATGACAAAAATTTATTTTAATATAGTAAGATATTTATTTATTCAAAAATATCAGAAAATGGCTTCTAGGTATCTTAAGACAGCTCTCTTCTTTGATAAAAATATATTAAAATTTTAATATTTTAAATAAAACTAAATTATAATTTTTATAATATTTAATTATTTAAAATACCAGAATAGGACATCCAGTTATATTAAGACTACCATTTTCTTTGATATCGAAAATAAATAAACATTATTATTTAAAAAAAAATATATATATATATATTTATATGACTAAGATAATAATAAAATAATAATTAAAGCAATAATTAAAATATAAAAGTAATAATAAAATGATATTGTAATTAAATAATGATCAAAATAAAAGAAATTCAAAATTATAAAACTAAATATAAAGTATTTAAAAATAAAGATAATAATTCGAAATATTATAAAAGATAATGATTAATAGTGTAATTTAACCTAATTAATTAATACGTGATTAAAATAATAATTAATAAACTATGAGGGTCTAAATTTGATATTTTCCTAAATATATATAAATACAGTTAATGGTTAAAATATAATAAAATAAAATTTAAACACTAAATTAAAATGATTAAAAGTCAATTTCAGTGACTAAATTGCAAAGTTACATAACTATAAGGGTTGCGGAAAGGATTTACCCTTTCTTAAATTACACAGATACCCTCCCCAAAACGACGTCGTTCGGGGGAGGGTTTATAAAACCTAAACGCCTGGCCCGAAGGGCCAAGCTTTCCCATTTCTTTCTTTTCTTTCTTTCTCTGAATGAGAGAACCTGAGTTCTCTCTCTGGTTTCTCTCTAGTTTCCCTCGCCGGAGGGAAACCGGCAGCCATAGGCCACCGTATTCCGCCGCCGGCCACCGTCACCGGCCACCGTAAACGGTGGCCGGAATTTACCAAAAACACCCCCAAAGCGTAGATCTAAACGTCCTAAGGTCCGATCTAAGGTTATTTTAAATTTATATTATTTCAAAATTAAAAAAATATTTAAAAATATCGAAAAAGAACTTCTAGGTGCCTTAAGACAGCTCTTTTCTTCAATATTAAAAAATAAATAAATGACAAACATTTTTTATGACAAAAATTTATTTTAATATAGTAAGATATTTATTTATTCAAAAATATCAGAAAATGGCTTCTAGGTATCTTAAGACAGCTCTCTTCTTTGATAAAAAATATATTAAAATTTTAATATTTTAAATAAAACTAAATTATAATTTTTATAATATTTAATTATTTAAAATACCAGAATAGGACATCCAGTTATATTAAGACTACCATTTTCTTTGATATCGAAAATAAATAAACATTATTATTTAAAAAAATATATATATATATTTATATGACTAAGATAATAATAAAATAATAATTAAAGCAATAATTAAAATATAAAAGTAATAATAAAATGATATTGTAATTAAATAATGATCAAAATAAAAGAAATTCAAAAATTATAAAACTAAATATAAAGCGTAGATCTAAACGTCCTAAGGTCCGATCTAAGGTTATTTTAACCTAAAACCCTATAATATATCGTAAATCTACGATTTTCACCTTCGGTATTTCGGTTCTCCGGTGACGTTTGGGGTTCTCCGATAACAGAGTAAGTTCCTCTGTTCTCTTCTTCTTCCTTTTTTTTACTGGTTTGTCGTTGATTGGGATCGTTGGTAGCTTTCTGTTTTCTTTTTTTTTTCTTTGCTGGATGTCCTCGTTTCTCTCGTGTTCTCCGTTGCTCTCTGTCCTTCCTGGGTTTTTTTTTTTTTTGCAAGTTCAGTGGTGGCTTTTATAGCCACCACAGTGTACTCCTCGGACCGGTCCCATGGGTAGCATCTTTGGTGAGTCACCAAGCTATGGCGGTGACTCACCATAGAGCACTGATTTGGTGAGGCAGCTGGCTTCTGGAAAGCTCGACGAGGTCGGCGTCGTGGAGGCAGCAGCGTCGGCAGCAACTGGTTGGACCATCTGGCATCAGAGAGTCGGTCGTCGGGGTGGCTTCAGGGGTGGCGCCGCGTCTGGAAGCTAGGGTTTAGACAACCCTAGCTGAATGTTACAAACCTTAAAGGGTTTGGGTTCTGCTGGGCCAATTGTAATCGGGCCCCAGTTTTGGGCTTTGTAATATTTTTATTATTATTATTTTTTTTATTTAATGATAATAATATATATATATAATAATATATTTTATTTAATAATAATTAAAATAATATAATGAAAAATTAGTGTCTACAGCTGCCCCTCTTTGCTCATTCTTGTGTTAACAAGAATAAAGCAAAGACGAAAAAGACAATAATTTTCATTCGGCTTCTTTTGAGTAGGATTGAAATATTGAAAACATCATGCACTGAAGGACTTACAGATGACCCGAAGGCTTTGAAAACATCAAAAAGCTCCCGAAGGCTTTTTGGAAACATCATGCACTGAAGGACTTACAGATGACCCGAAGGCTTTGAAAACATCAAAAAGCTCCCGAAGGCTTTTTGGAAACATCATGCACTGAAGGACTTACAGATGACCCGAAGGCTTTGAAACATCAAAAAGCTCCCGAAGGCTTTTTTGGAAACATCATGCACTGAAGGGCTTACAGATGACCCGAAGGTTTTTGAAAACATCAAAAAGCTCCCGAAGGCTTTTTGGAAACATCATGCACTGAAGGGCTTACAGATGACCCGAAGGTTTTTGAAAACATCAAAAAGATCCCGAAGGCTTTTTGGAAACATCATGCACTGAAGGGCTTACAGATGACCCGAAGGTTTTTGAAAACATCAAAAAGCTCCCGAAGGCTTTTTGGAAACATCATGAACTGAAGGGCTTACATATGACCCGAAGGTTTTTGAAAACATCAAAAAGATCCCGAAGGCTTTTTGGAAACATCATGCACTGAAGGACTTACAGATGACCCGAAGGCTTTGAAAACATCAAAAAGCTCCCGAAGGCTTTTTGGAAACATCATGCACTGAAGGGCTTACAGATGACCCGAAGGTTTTTGAAAACATCAAAAAGATCCCGAAGGCTTTTTGGAAACATCATGCACTGAAGGACTTACAGATGACCCGAAGGCTTTGAAAACATCAAAAAGCTCCCGAAGGCTTTTTGGAGACATCATGCACTGAAGGACTTACAGATGACCCGAAGGTTTTTGAAAACATCAAAAAGCTCCCGAAGGCTTTTTGGAAACATCATGCACTGAAGGACTTACAGATGACCCGAAGGCTTTGAAAACATCAAAAAGCTCCCGAAGGCTTTTTGGAAACATCATGCACTGAAGGGCTTACAGATGACCCGAAGGTTTTTGAAAACATCAAAAAGATCCCGAAGGCTTTTTGGAAACATCATGCACTGAAGGACTTATAGATGACCCGAAGGTTTTTGAAAACATCAAAAAGATCCCGAAGGCTTTTTGGAAACATCATGCACTGAAGGACTTACAGATGACCCGAAGGCTTTGAAAACATCAAAAAGCCCCCGAAGGCTTTTTGGAAACATCATGCACTGAAGGACTTACAGATGACCCGAAGGTTTTTGAAAACATCAAAAAGCTCTCGAAGGCTTTTTGGAAACATCATGCACTGAAGGACTTACAGATGACCCGAAGGCTTTGAAAACATCAAAAAGCTCCCGAAGGCTTTTTGGAAACATCATGCACTGAAGGGCTTACAGATGACCCGAAGGTTTTTGAAAACATCAAAAAGATCCCGAAGGCTTTTTGGAAACATCATGCACTGAAGGACTTACAGATGACCCGAAGGCTTTGAAAACATCAAAAAGCTCCCGAAGGCTTTTTGGAGACATCATGCACTGAAGGACTTACAGATGACCCGAAGGTTTTTGAAAACATCAAAAAGCTCCCGAAGGCTTTTTGGAAACATCATGCACTGAAGGACTTACAGATGTGGGAAATAGTTTACTAAGTAAAAAACTAAGGAAATCGTTTTCTTATTTTTCAACAATTTCATTTTAGAAAAGATAAAATGAGAAACTATGGAAATCGTTTTCTCATTATGTTTTTGAAATAACATGTTGATTGGGTAACATGCCCCAATCTCAAGATAATGCTCATTCTTGTGGATTACGTCCATCTCTTTTTCATATGTTTGCGTGATTTCCTGTATTTTTGGTTTTGAATACCTTCTTCTTGTAAGGTATTTTTTTACCATGAATCTTCTTGCTCTTCCGAAGATCTGTAAAACTTCATGTTTGAATGCACTCAGATGTATCAATGTAATGCATTGTCTATTGTGTAAATGATATTCTTATGAATGCATGAATGTTGATGCAATCTTCATTTGACTTCAAAGGGGTGAACTTGGTCTTCCTCTAGTTCATCATTTATTGCTAGGGTTACCTCTGGATATCAATGTAGCAACTTATGCTATCAAGCTTGCATTTATGCAGAATCATCTGATCAACTTGTATCTTTGCTGTCTTCTTTGCTTCATGAAAGTCTTAGAAGAAATGTTTCACTTGTGGAACTCTTGTCGTAGTCAGAACTATGACCTTGATGCCCCA